TTTTTTTTGTATATTCAAAATTCTGTTATTATCGTATTATTATTTTGTTATATTGTGAGGTTTTTTTTTGTTCTGATCTTTTATTCTTGTAGGTTTATTATTAGTATTTTGTTTATATATATGTATTTTTATTTTTCTATAATCCTTGTTTTGTGTGCTAATTGCCGAATAAATGTTTTTCTCTTTCTTTTCTTCTTTCTTTCAAATCAAAAAATAAAAAACAAACGCGATGTCGGCAACCGGTTGATACTAAATCAGTCATAATAATAATTATACTGTAGTACTAGCTGTACTAGATATTTGATAGGGTTTGCGCGGACTAGATGAGTTAGGTTCGCATTGCAGAGTGCAATGAACGAGAAAATCAATAAATAATAGATTTTAATTGCATTTTTATGGAAAGTTATGAAAAGTTTAATAGTCCTGTGTTATTCAGTTCAGTGGAATTGTGGGATTTTTGTAGCAATTTAAATCGGTAAGGAAAGCAAATGCGATTTTTTATATTTATTTTATTTTAATTATTATTCTTTGATGCAAAGCGAAAACTATGCTTAGCGAAAAAAAAATTATGGAATGCAAATTGTTTTTAAAAAAGTTTCATTAGAATGTTAAATGAAAACAAATTACTCGTAATGTTCCTAATTAACAATATTAAAAAAACTGAAATTAAGGATTATTTCAGTTTCGATTCGTCAACTTATTTATGGACGAGAAAAGAAATACTTCAAAGTATTTAATCTAAAGAAATAGTATGCAGTGCGATTGGAACTGCTTTAGCTAAAGCCGGCAATTTAATTTTCTATATCTTAATATTTAATACAAAAAATTGTACTCTACACCTCAACTTCAAGAGAAGTACCTAGGTTTCACCATTCAAATATAGTTACTTTGTTATTCTATAATTATTTTATCACATATCCCTGGAATCAACACAAATACCAATAACCAATAAAAATCGACTTATACAAAATTTCCTTTCCAGAAAACAAGATGGAGGAAACAAAAGTAATTTCAAGAGGTACAAACGGTTCTAAAAGTTCATCTACTGGGGTAAATACTTCATCACAAGAGTCAGACCAAACCGCTTAGCAAACTATTGTAAGACCTGATCAGAGAACTGGTCAGTGGCGTGATGAACTGACGAGAAACAACGCTTGCGTTGTGTTTAGTCGAGTGAGTGCTAAGTTACCGGAGGCCCAATTACCCTCCTCTTCCCCAATCTCCCCCAATCCCTGAATCCCGTCGCGGAGAACCTAACGGGTAACTGGGGCTCCGGCTCGACGTGCAGGAAAAGGAACAGGGTGGTTTTTAGTCAGTAAGAGTCTGACACTCCCTTCCGCCTCACCCAGGCGGGAGCAGTCATTCGATGATTTTCCCCCCTTAAAAAAAAATCCCTGAATCCCCAACGATCCTCAAACCCCTAATCCCCAAAAGGCCGGTAACGCACTTGTAACGCCTCTGGTGTTCCAGGTGTCCATGGGCGACGCCGATTGCTTACCATCAGGTTATCCGTCTGCCCGCTTACCAGCTTATGTCATAAAAAATTCTTTAATTAAAAAAATCTATAAATTCAAGCAAAATTAGAATCTATATATATAAAAGAAAGTCGTGTTAGTTACACTATTTATAACTCAAGAACGACTAAATCGATTTGGATTAAATTGGCGGGAGGTAGCTTAGAACCAGGAGACGGATATAGGATACTTTTTATTCAAAACTTTTATTTTACTTTTACCGAAAATCACGTACGGGAACGGGGAAAAATAGAATTGCGCGTACGAAGTCGCGGGTAGAAGCTAGTAAAAGATATCGGTAAAAAAATCAAATTAAGTTCCATTCATTTACATGAATAAATTAGCAATAGATTAATTAAAATTAGGGTTTGATAAAATGAAAAAATAACACTAAAAAGGAGGTTGTTTCATCGCTCCCAAATATAGTTAGCATCGAAGGGAATCATAATAAAACAAACAAATACTATATGTACTCATAACTCATTTATTCTCCACTCCAATAAATAACCATATTTCACAAATTCACACCATTATTTACTTCTATATTTATAAATTATGCTAAATATAAGTCTTCATACACTTAAAGAATAAAGGCCGATTGTTCCAACGCCCGATACATTTTAACTGAGGAATAACATTGAACATTTGACGGTAATTTCCTAAATTTTATTTTAATGTCCGTCTGGTACATTAATTTAAAACCTTAGACACGTATTTTTTCTTTTCTCCCAAAATTAAACTTTCGACGATATATTAATTTGAAATATCGTGTGACGTCACAGCGTGCCACATTTTGTAGCACGTCATGACGTAACAGCCTACCAATCCTAAACTTAGCGCCATTTTATCTAAGTATTACAACTTAAAAGGAGAAAATATAATACGTGTATAATATTTTTAATTTTGATACCCTGGAAACTGCCCAATTCTTCCATAATGAAAACTTAAATGTTAATTTTATTCTTCAGTTAAGAAATAACTGGTGATTGAGAAATCGGCCCTAAGATGAGTTTAAATAATATAATCTACTGACAAACCGACCGGATTATGAGCCTCAACTACAAAAGAGCGATCACGGAAAATAAGAAAACCAAATAAAATATACATTAACTAAAAATCGCAGGTTACTCACGTGAATATACTGAGAAAAGCTCTACTATCGAACCACCGAGGGGTTCTTCCTCATGAGCAGCGTGCGCGGTCGGCATAGTAGACCTTTTCTCAGTATATTCACGTGAGTAACACCCGATTTTTATATAGTTCATTTAGTATGTCTCACGATAGTTATTATAAAAATATACATTATTCTGAGTATTATTTTCATGTAGACATACAAATTATGTACCTATTATAAGCCTCGCCTTTACAACTTAAATCTGATAAATTATTATTATCTTTATTTTTGTAGGACACATGACAAACATAAAATTGTATAAAACATAAAATTTTATCTCATGAGCGCGGGTGCGCCATACTTGTTTGTGTAATTGTACGGTCAAAGGTCAAAAGTCGACTGCCAGCGTAAGACTACTACCGGTTGCGCTGCAGCGCGTATATAGCGCTTATATACATGCGCACGCATATTTGTATTCGTGTGTACGCGTGCGTGTGTTTATGCGTACGCACGCGTGTTTATGCACATTAATATGAAATTACTTACGCATTGCCGTGTGAACATCACTCACGGTGGCAGTGGACCTTTGACCTTTGTGTACATGGAATGCGCATTATAACCTATATTTAGGCTAAAGACTTGCGGCGCGATATTCTCCCGCGCCTGCCACGGTTGTGAGCCCGCAGACTTTGTAGAAAACAGATATGTATGTAAAAAATCTCTGCGGTCGGTTGGCGGGCGAACGCAACGGGAGGGCCGGTCTGGAACTCGACTCATTGTTTAACAGCCCGCCCGCCTTGCGACAATCAACTGTTAAGTTTGCGGGCGAGAATCGCAACCGCGGCTGCGGGATCGCAGAATACTGCGGTCTCGTGAGTTTAGAAAATTCCGCCTCCATTTCGCCACCGCAGCGGGCGCGGGAGAAGATCGAGCCGTGAAACTTTAGCTTTAACAAGTTTCTATCAGAGGTTTCGCCCTCGTTCCCGTGGCAAAAAAGTATTCAATACTAAAATAAAAGTAGCCGAAAATAATAAGTCTGTGGACCATGGACAAGACGTCATTTTTCATTTTTTAGCTTTTTTATTTTATTTTTTAATTATGTTATGTGTGTTCTGCGCAGAAATAAATGGTTTTTCTTTCTTTCTTTCTTTTCTTTCCTAAGTGTTATTGTGTTTTCAACCATTTCGACGTGATTAAGTAACAAACATACCACACGGACTCGAGAAAGTTTCGCATTTATAATATTATATATTAATACTAGCTGTTGCCCGCCACTTTATCCGCATAGAATATGATTCCTGCTTCATCCCTTAGGGGTGGACTACCTCTAACATTTAGGGGAATGAAAAATAGATGTTGGCCGATTCTAATAGATACCGGATAAGCACAAAAAAATTCATCAAAATCGGTCAAGCCGTTTCGGAGGAGTATGGCAACGAAAACTGTGACACGAGAATTTTATATATTAGATTATATAGACTATAATAGGCCCATAAGAACTGAGATCAAAACTAGACTAGTTATATTTAAATTATATAGTACAAAAATGTCTTAGGAAGCCATTTGTTTATATATCTAAAGTTAATAATATAATCTAACAGTAGCCAGAGGTTTAAATATACAATGTAACACCCAGTTTTCACTATTTATGTTGTGAGTCCCATGTAATAGGGGGTGGGCCTGGTACCATGCACTGGGACAATTGTGTACTTGCCAACTAATCAAATTCAATACGATTTTTTCGAACTGTCAAAAACGACAGTTTTCTATGAATTTTGTACGACATTGTGTATTGTGACGTCACGTCTTTAAAGCGTCAAACAGCATACTTTTTTCTTAAAAATTTGCTAGATTAATACTGCAATTTTTATGGGATAAGCCGGTAAACGAGCAGATGGATCACCTGATGGTAAGCAATCCGCGTTGCCCATGGACACCTGGAACACCAGAGGCTATACAAGTTCGTTACCAGCCTTCTGGATTAGGAATTTGAGGATTGTTGGGGATTCAGGGATTGGGGAAGGGGGGGGGGTAATTGGGCCTCCGGTAACCTCACTCACACGACGAAACACAACACAACGTTGTTTCACGTCGGTATTCTGTTTGGCCGTGGTATCACTCCGGCCGAGCCGGCCCATTCGTGCCGAAGCATGGCTCTCCCACACTTGATTATTGTTTAATATTTTATTGTATTGAACAGTCGAAATAATTTATTTTTGATTAATGCAAGTATCCAATCCCAGTCTCTGTGCTAATATGATACAGACCCATACTCAACGAGCGCTTAAAATCAAACGCTAACATCATTCTCTCTCTTCTTCCTCAGCTAATGTCGGTTACCGGTGACCCCCATAGCGATTTATGTGTTAATATCAATCTTCGATGCTCGGTTCGTCGCATTTCCAGTCTCTAGCTCTCTGCCTAGCCCGTTTAGGCCACGGTTTCTTTAGATGCACATGCTCGACGTGAGCTTTCAGTTCTCCAGAAGAAGTGAAGCATTTACCGCACGTATCACACTTGAATGGTTTTAGGCCGGTGTGTATCTGAAAATATAAAGTTTCTGTTAATACGTAGCCTCTGCGTTAATTCGAGCCGCAGAAGGCCTTTTTTAAGAGGGGAAAAATCATCGAATGACTGCTCCCGCCTGGGTTAGGCGGAAGGGAGTGTCAGACTCTTACTGACTAAAAACCACCCCGTTCCTTCTCCTGCACGTCGAGCCGGAGCCCCGGTTACCCGTTAGGTTCTCCGCGACGCCGCGGAAGGCCTAATGGTGGGCTCCGGCTCGAAGAGCAGGAGTAGGAACGGGGTGTAAACCAATTTTAGTATTTTTTCATCAAATATTTAAGAAATAAGTATAATGTTACACGCTAAAAAAACGTGACGTCACAATACACAATCTCGTACACAATTCATAGAAAACTGTCGTTTTTGACAGTTTGAAAAAATCGTATTGAATTTGACTAGTTGGCAAGTACACGATTGTATGCATTTGCGTAGTTTGCCGCTCCCGGCAGGCGGGGGCGGCCGGCTGCGGGCACGCGCAGACACACTACATAGTATAAAACGAAGTCGCTACCCGCCGTCTGTCTGTCCCTATGTATGCTTAGATCTTTAAAGCTACGCAAATGCATACAATCGTGTACTTGACAAATAGTCAAATTTCGGCCACCATCCTCCTTTTTTTTGGGATCATTCGCGGACGACGCGGACACAAGCTTACCGTTTAATTTCTAATATACAGTTCACTATTATTGAAGAGACTCAACATAGTGATAAGATATTACTTACAAACATATGTCTCCTCCGGTTATTATAGAAAGCGAAGTGTTTCCCACATAGAGGGCACTCGTAGCTCGGTCGCGTCCCGCTATGTACTTTCATATGTATGATCAAATTAGTTTTCTGTGTAAAGCTCTTTGTACACCGATCACATTTGAACCGTTTGACACCAGTATGAACCCACATGTGATCTTTTAACAACGCCATACTCTGCAAAAATAAACAATAATAATAACTTACCGCATCACAAGAAAGTTTTTAACTTCATCTACTTTATCATCCACCTATTCTATTTAAACTTCCCCTTATACACTTGGCTTCGGCCCGTGTATAAGGTTCTTAAACTCTCATACGAGAAGGAAATTAAAGTACATAAATAACATAAATAGTGAAAGTAGGTGTAACACTCACTTATGTCATAAGTCCCATGTAATGAGCCTATTGCCATATACAGGGCACAGTTCCAGACTCCGTGCTAATACTAAGATTTTTCTTTTAACTCGGTAATACTTTGCCCATCCCGGGAATCGAACCCGAGACCCCTTGCCCGGCAGTCGCACTTGCGACCACTCGGCCAACGAGTAATAATATGACATACCTGGAATATCTTGCCGCACTGCTCACACATGCAAGGGGTCTTCATCGCGGGGTACTTAGTTCGATTCTTGTCCGGATGAGCTCTTCTGAAGTGTTGCGCGTACACTCTTAAATCTCGCAGTTGTAGGCCACACTGATGGATGAACATATTTAATTGATTAATTTATTTATTTATACAATATGCACGACTGTATCACTACATATTATAAAACAAAGTCGGTATCCGCCGTCTGTCTGTCCCTATGTATGCTTAGATCTTTAAAACTACACAACGGATTTTGATGCAGTTTTTTTAATAGATAGAGTGATTCTTACGGAAGGTTTGCATGTATAATACATGCATATTGCACCAATGCGAAGCCAGGGCGGTTCGCTTCCTTCCTTAAGAATCATTCTAACAATAAAAAAAACTGCATCAAAATCCGTCTCGTAGTTTTAAAGATCTAAGCATACATAAGGACAGACAGACGGCGGATACCGACTTTGTTTTATACTATGTAGTGATTTACAGTCACAGCGGAAAACAATCCGATTAGAGTAACTGGACACATTAATAAAATAAACGATGAAATAATAAAACTAGAACAAAACATACACAACGAACCAGAAGAGTAAAACTTTGCATAACATAACATAACATCACGCCTTTTATCCCCGAAAAGGTAGGCAGAGGTGCATATTACGGCATTTAATGCCACTGTAATGTAACACCCACTTTTCACTATTTATGTTATGAGTCCCATGTAATAGGGGGTGAGCCTATTGCCATATACCGGGCACAGTTCCAGACTCCGTGCTACTACTGAGAAAAATCCAGTAATACTTTGCCTGACCCGGGAATCGAACCCGAGACCCCTTGCCCGGCAGTCGCACTTGCGACCACTCGGCCAATGAGGCAGTCTTAAAACTTTGCTTTTTATAATAACTATCGTGAGACATACTAAATTAACTAAAATCGCGGGTTACTCGCGTGACTATACTGAGAAAAGCTCTACTAGTTTCGAACCACAGAGGGGTTCTTCCTCATGAGCAGCGTGCGCGGTCGGCATAGTAGAGCTTTTATCAGTATATTCACGTGAGTAACCTACGATTTTAGTAAAAAGAGTAAAACTTATTTTAAAAAATGGTAACATTCATAAGTTCCTCTCAGTACTTCAGGCATTCCGATAAAATCTCCTTCCATCCGTCCGCAAACAGATCACTAGTTGGATTGGAATCCAAGAAACCATTGAGCGTGGTCAGAGTGCGAGGAATCAGTGCTTTAGCACGTGCTACTGTACGACATGAGGGTACGGCAAACAATCTGTGCTTTTTACCCCGGTAGTAATTGGGATTTGAGGATTTTGGGGGATTCAGGGATTGGGGAGACTGGGGAGGGGGAGGGTCATCATCAACAGCCTATAAATGCCCACTGCTGAGCAAAGCCTCTTCTCACACGGAGAAGGTTTGAGCATTAATCACCATGCTTGCTCAATGCGGGTTGGCGATTTCAAACTTATAATTAGAAATTATGAGCCCAGGTTTCCTCACGATGTTATTCCTTCACCGTTTGTCAGTGGTGTCTAAATAATCTTAGAAAGTACATATAACTCGGAAAAAGTTACATTGGTACTTGCCGTTGGTAGGTTTCGAACCTGCACCCTCATGCGTGAGAAGCGGGCGTCTTAAACCTCCGGGCCACCACGACACGTAACGGGGGGAAGGTAAATAAACTCAAACGACAAAATACAACGCTGTGGTTGTTTCACTATGGTTTTCTGCTCGGCCGTGGTATCACTCCGGTCGAGCCGGCCCAGCAGTGCCGAAGCATTGCTCTCCCACACTTAAAAGCTAATTAAAACCGTTTATCATAAAGATATTGTTTATGAACTGCCGGATAAGGGGTCTCGGGTTCGATTCCCGGGTCGGGCAAAGTATAACTGGGTTTTAAAAAAATTCTCATTAATAGCACGGAGTCTGGAATAGTGCCCGGTATATGGCAATAGGCTCACCCCCTATTACATGGGACTCATAACATAAATGTACAGTGTGTTACATTGTACAGTGGGATAATGTGCACCTCTGCCTACCACTTCGGGAATAAAAGGCGTGATGTTATGTTATTGAAACAAAGAGTTCCCTTTTCTTGTATAGAAGCACTAATTCTATGGATTGTCAGTATGCATATGTGAGCACCATGTTGGACTTCAAGATTTTTATTTTTTTTATTTTATTTTAGTAAGTTATTAGTATAATGCGTCAAGCGTGTCTTTGCATTGTTCTTACATAATTATGCGTACAGTATGGAAATATGTATCAGAGACATTGTAGAACATACTTTTTTAAAAAGAGTAACGAATGGAATTTCTTGCTCGTTCTTCTCCATTCGAATCTACTTTTTGGAATGAGCACCTAGCTTCACCTAGTTTCTCTGACGGACTGACTGACAGACTATTTGTGTTTGTTGACGTTTCAAAAGTACCAAACTATGGTTTAATTGAAATAAATGCTTTGACTTTGACTTCAGTTTACCTGTTCACAAGTGACAGGTGATTGTGACTCCAAGTCCTCATCAGGTCTTGGAGTTCTCGGGTGTATTATAGGGCGTCTCTCGTTCCGTCTCATAGAATGACCGTGGTTGCTTTGTGAGTCATTGCGAGGTGGATTGCTGTGGATAGAAAAAAATATACACTGACTTTTTAAACATCTTAGAACTGCAGTTCAGGTCATTTATTCAGTCATTATTCATCAACAGCCTATAAATGCCCACTGCTGACCAAAGGCCCCTTGTCACACGGAGAAGGTTTGAGCATTAATCACCACGCTTGCTCAATGCGGGTTGGCGATTACAAACTTATAATTGGAAATTATAAGCCCAAGTTTCCTCACGATGTTTTCCTTCACCGTTTGTCAGTGGTGCCTGAATAATTTTAGAAAGTACATATAACTCGGAAAAAGTCACATTGGTACTTGCCGTTGGTAGGTTTCGAACCCGCACCCTCATGCATGAGAAGCGGGCGTCTTAAACCTCCGGGCCACCACGACATAATTAAATGTCCATAATAAAAATGTATACTAAAAAGAGTTTATTTATGGTCATGCAAACAGAATGGGTACACAAAATTGGTTAATAATTGTGTACTACTTTTTACGAACTATCAAAACGACAGTTTTCTATGAATTTCGTACGCGATTGTGTATTGTGACGTCACGTTTTTTAGCGTCAAACAACATACTTATTTATTAAAATATGCTGTAAAATAACTAAAATTAAGTTGGTCATAAAATCAATGAAATCAAAGTGTGATTATTTTTTAATATTTTTAATATTGTACTTGACAATTTATATTGGATTATGGAAAGTACCCAATTAGACTTTAAACACATTTTTTTAATGGGACAAGTCCGCCACAACCTTTCAAAGCCGCTGCAACTCCTATTCACCATCACCGGGATCTACAGTAGATACAACCATACAAACACCGGATCACTAAGCTCCGACACATTCCGTCCTATAGTCGGATTTCACACACCCGCGACACAATGTAAAGCGTAAATAAATACATAGTTATAATACTTACGAGCCATGTTCATTGCTATGCCTCGCAGATAACTTCAGATGTCTGTCATGAGCTTCTTCCGACGCAAACTTCACGTCACATATTTGACAGTAAGGCCCGTCTAACGTCACCTGGAAATATCAATCAATCAATGAATCATCATTCAGATATACTTAATCCTCCTAATATTATCATCATCATCATCATCATCAACAGCCGGAAGACGTCCACTGCTGGACAAAGGTCTCCCCCTTAGCCCTCCACGTCGAACGACAACTCGCCACCCGCATCCACTGGCTCCCCGCAACTCTGACGATGTCGTCGGTCCACCTAGCGGGAGGCCTGGCCACGCTTCGTCTTCCGGTCCGTGGTCTCCACCCAAGGACTTTCCTGGCCCGTCTGCCGTCAATCCTTCGAGCAACGTGGCCTGCCCATTGCCACTTTAGTCTGCAGATTTTGCGAGCTATGTCGGTAACTCTTGTAGTTGTATGTCGGTAATATTATGAATGAGAAAATGTCTGTGTATATTTGTTATTCACTGTAGTCAAAACAGAATTTCATCCCGATCCCTTTTTTTTATTCCGTTCCGTTCCCGATTCCGTTTTGACGTGATTGACTAACAGACATACACACAAGCTTTTAACATTTGTAATATTTGGGTTGTCATCATCAACAGCCTATAAATGCCCACTGCTGAGCAAAAGCCTCTTCTCACACGGAGAAGGTTTGAGCATTAATTACCACACTTGCTCAATGTGGGTTGGCGATAACAAACTTATAATTAGAAATTATAAGCCCAGGTTTATTCACGATGTTTTCCTTCACCGTTTGTCAGTGATGTCTAAAGAATCTTAAAGAAAGAAAGAAGAAAGAAATTTCGAACCCGCACCCTCATGCATGAGAAGCGGACGTCTTACGGCCACAATGACACACACATACATTTAAGAAAGAAAATGTCATTTGGCATTAAGTCCGACTTATGTACAGTCAAAGGTCAAAAGTCCACTGCCACCGTGAGTGATGTTGATTGGGCCTCCAGTAACCTCACTCACACGACGAAACACAACGCAAGCGTAGCTTCACGTCGGTTTTCTGTGAGGCCGTGGTATCACTCTGGTCGAGCCGGCCCATTCTTTTAGCAACTTTCGTGAGACATACTAAATAAATTATTATGTGTGTGTCATAAATCCTTCGTAAAACATAATAATTTATTTAATTTCATATGAATGTGCATAACAACGCGTGCGTACGCATAAACACACGCACGCGTACGCACACGGATACAAATATATAATATATAAGCGCTGCAGCGCAACCGATAGTAGTCTTACGGTGCAGTAGACTTTTGACCTTTAACCGTACAATATTTTGTGTGCATTAAAGAGTTAATAAATAAATAAAACACTTACATTTTTTCCACTCATGTGATGTTTTTTCTTTTTGTGTACTTCAACGCCTTTTTTGCTAACAAACATGTATCCGCATATTTCGCATACAATATCAGATACATGTTTAATTCGTATGTGACCTAAATATGTTGTTAATTTACTGAAAATAAAAGAATTCATGGTTATCATAATCTTTCTATAATAACTATCGTGAGATATACTAAATTAACTAAACATCGCGGGTTACTCACGTGAATATACTGAGAAAAGCTCTACTAGTTGAAATACAACATCAATGCATAACATCACGCCTTTTATACCCGGAGGGGTAGGTGTACATAATGCCACTGTACAATGTAACACCCACTTTTCACTATTTATATTAGGAGTCTCATAGGGGGTGACCCTATTGCCATATACCGAGCACAATTCCAGACTCCATGCTATTACTGAGAATTTTTTAAAAACCCTGTATTACTTTGCCCGACCCGGGAATCGAACCCGAGACCCCTTGCCAGGCAGTCACACTTACGACCACTCGGCCAACGAGGCAAAATTTATGCAGTAGGTATCTGAATAATGTCTTATAGAGGACCCGGTGCCTCCATACAGGTGTTGAGGGTGGCCACCGGGGTGGTTTTAGTGAGGTAAGAATCCCACACTCCCGAGTGAACAGGTTGCTCATAGGTAAGCGTGCTCCATCGTCGTCCACATCATCGCTTACCATCAGGCGAGATGGTGGTCAAACGTCGACCTATAAGTGTAAAAAAAAAAGTTTTCTATCCCCAAAAAAGCTAAGCGCCTTTTGAAGGTTTCCCCCCGTCATCAAAAAAAAAAAGGTATCCGAATTTTTTTTATGGCATAAGCCGGTAAACGAGCATACGGATCACTTGATGGAAAGCATTCGGCGTCGCCCATGGACACACGGAACACCAGAGGCGTTACAAGTGCGTTACCGGCCATTTAGGGATTAGGAGTTTGAGGATCGTTGGGGATTCAGGGATTGGGGAGATTGGGGAAGGGGAGAGTAATTGGGCCTCCGGTAACCTCACTCACACGACGAAACACAACGCAAGCGTTGTTTCACGTCGGTATTCTGCTCGGCCGTGGTATCACTCCGGTCGAGCCATTCGTGCCGAAGCATGTCTCTCCCACACTTAAATAAAATGGAAACTCACTCGAATTCGCTGGCGCAATGTGGGCACTGGTATTTATGACCGGCGTGCCATTTCTGATGCTCTCTCGCTACGCCCCTGAAATATAATTATATCATTATTACTAGCTACTTCCGCGTGGTTTCACACGCTTTGCTAAGGTCCTATTGGTCGTAGCGTGATGTTTTATAGTCTATAACCATCCTCGATAAATGCGCTATCCAAAACGAAAAGAATTATTCAAATCAGACTTGTAGTTATGGATATTAGCGCGTTCAAACAAACAAAAAAACTCTTCCGCTTTATATAATAGTATAAGATATAAGATAGGTACAACATTGTGAGCAAACAGGGTAGCGGAGCAAATTAGAAGAAAATAGTCAAAAAACATCACGCTACGACAAATAGGAGCTGAGCAGAGCGTGTGAAACCGCGCGGATGTAGCTTGTAATAAATAAGTCTATTACAATTCGTTTTAATATCAACAATAATAGTCAGAATTGACGCCTCCGAAGCCGATGGTAAAATCGAGTATAAATATGTATAACACTCACCGATTCCTCGTGACAAACGAACATCCATTACAGCTGTATTGTTCAGTATGTTGCGACGTCAGATGTTTCCGAAGCGCGCGACTAGTTTTCAACCTAGTCTTACATATAAAACACTCGAATGTACCGCTTTGCTGAAAAAATAAATATCCTTACTAATATTATAAATCTGAAAGTGAGTTTGTTTGTTTGTTCCGCCTTCACGCCGTAACTACTCAACCGATTGCTTTGAATTTTTGCAGACGTAAAGTTAGAAGTCCGGATTAAATAATAGGGTACTTTTTAACCCGGAAAAAATTGATATTCCCGAGGGAAAACAAAAGTATAGGTATGGATGGCGCTGTGTGTATTGGTATATGTCACATAGGCTACTTTATTCTTTTGTGACGCGAGCGAAGCCGCGGGTAAAATCTAGTAATTTATATATGAGTTAAAGAAAAAGACTGCCTCGTTGGCCGAGTGGTCGCAAGTGCGACTGCCAAGCAAGGGGTCTTGGGTTCGATTCCCGGGTCGGGGAAAGTATTACTGTTTTTTTTAATTCTCAGTTAGTAGTAGCACGGAGTCTGGAATTGTGCCCGGTATATGGCAATAGGCTCACCCCCTATTACATGGGACTCATAACATAAATAGTGAAAAGTGGGTGTTACATTGTACAGTGGCTTAATGTGCACCTCTGCCTACCTTCGATAAAAGGCGTGATGTTATTTAGGTAATGTTGTAAAATTAATGTTTACCTCACTATGTCTAATAGCATGGGCAGTGTATCTCCCTTTAACCAAAAACCCTCGATAACAAATAACACATTTATAGGGGGCGCTAGTGTAGTTAGTGCTTTGCTGCCTCTTAGTGACCTCTTCAATTTGTTCGTCGTATGTCAGCGGTGTTATCGTAAACAGAGATTCATCTAATTCATTACTACGTCTCCGTTTGACATCATTAGTTTTATACCTGGAACATAAATAAAATAATGTTATATTAATTGTATTATTATAACCACAGGCGTGCGGTCCGTGTATAGTATATGTGAATGTATAATTATGTGAGCCGTTTTTTTACAAACTTTTATTATATTTTATTGAATCTTAACGCGTTTGTACATTTTATGTATGTTAAATTCACGATATTTATAAGGTAGGCAAAGCCTTTTTGCCTATATGTACTGCACGCCACTGATTATAACCACTGAAAACTGGACTTTTGATTTAGAGACATTGTAGAACATACTTTTTTTAAAAAGAGTAACGAATGGAGTTTCTTGCTCGTTCTTCTCCATTCGAATCTACTTTTTGGAATGAGCACCTAGCTTCACCTAGTTTCACTGACGGACTGACTGACAGACTATTATTTATTTTGTATTTTTTGACGTTTCAAAAGCACCAAACTATGGTTTAAACTGTCAAACACCAAGCGGTCACCGGTGACCGCGACCTATTGTTCTTTAATTGTGTCTATAAAACCGGTACTCGACGAGTTAATTGAAATAAATGCTTTGACTTTGACTTTGACAATTATAAGTTTGAAATCGCCAACCCGCATTGAGCAAGCGTGGCGAATAATGCTCAAACCTTTTCCATGTGAAAAGAGGCCGTTGGTCAGCAGTGGGGACTTATAAGCTGTTGGTATGATGTAATTACCTTCCCTTTCCCCAATCTCCCCAATCCCTGAATCTCCAACGATCCTCAAACTCCTAATCCCCAAAAGGCCGGTAACGCACTTGTAACGCCTGGTGTTCCAGGTGTCCATGGGCGACGCAGATTGCTTACCATCAGGTGATCCGTCTGCCCGTTTACCGGCTTATGCCATAGGGCCTGCGGACGGCGAGCATGGCTCGCCGCCCGACCAGAACCAGACCCGAGCGTACGGCGCGTAGCGTTCCGCGCGCGCCTTAAAGAGCTATCAGACCACCACGGATGGGGCCCAACAGGGCTGATGCCGATACAGAGCCGCGGAGAACCTAACGGGTTGCCGAGGCTCTGGCTCGAAGTGCAGGAGTAGGAACGGGGTGGTTTTTAGTCAGTAAGAGTCTGACACTCCCTCTCGCCTCACCCAGGCGGGACAAGTGGATATTTACTCCCCTTAACAAATAAAATATAATCGCCAATCCTTATTTCGCTAATCCCCGCAAAGGCTGGCAACGAACTTGTAACACTTTACTCCTCTATTCTTGTTATATTATTCTCCACAGGCGCCGATAGCTTACCATCAGGTGATCCGTCTGCTCGTGTACCGGCTTATGGCATAAAAACATAAAATTAAACCACTCACCGTTCACTAGTAGCATAAGGATCATTAGTTTGAACAACATTCTTCTTACTTCTACTAGCTTTCGTAACTAATTTGACCTTCTTTTTTTTCACTGGCACTCGTATCTTATCTTCTGCTATTGCTTCTTTCTTCTCGACGTACACTTCACTTAGAACTCGATCGTCTTCGTCATCAAAATGATCGTATTCGTCGAAAAATATACCATTGGAGCTCTCATCTTTTATTTCGACGCCCGCTGTGGGTATACTGCAGACATCAAGTTCCATTGCGTCTGCGTGCAAGATGTCTATATGTTCTTGTATATTTTCGGATTTTATATCGCAATCTTGAAGGTGTAGGTCTATATCTTCAGCCTCATATATTTTATGCACTAAATTCGACGTTAATTTGTTTTGGTTGCGGTTTATTAGTCTTATATCCCTTATTTTAAGCTGAAAATGAAAACAATGTTTTATGCGACTTAGCATTTATAGTCATGACCTTGAACGCCATGGGGGACCCTTGTCCCCATACTTATATGGGCCACGTTAGCGGAGGATTTACCCTCAACCAATGATATTATAAATAATAAAAAGAGGTAGATATCGCACTGGCACGCAAAAATTGTTGCGAACGAATTCAGACAATTGTTGTAATTTGTAAATAGCTATCTCTTTCTGTACCATACTTTCCGTATTATCTGTCGCATGTAGTTGAAAATGACATTTAAGTACATTTGTAATAAGAACGCAACAATTTTTGGACGCCGCTTAGTATGAACGTAGCGTATCTTCTTTATAATATCATTGCCCTCAACAGTTTTCTGTCAGCAGTCAAAGGCTTAACCGACTTCGAAAATAGGAGGAGGTTCTCAATCCGACCGTATATATGTATTTTTTTAATCTATTTTATTTAAGGCCTACGTCAACCCCATTGTAGCTCAAACTCATCTATCTAAAAATATCACTACATAGTATAAAACAGAGTCGCTATTCACCGTCTGTTCTGTCCCTATGTATGCTTAGATCTTTAAAGCTACGCAACGGATTTTGATGCGGTTTTTTTAATAGGTAGAGTTATTCCCTCGCCACCTTAATTATAATACACTCTACCAGTATTACAAATCGGTGCCACAGGTGGAGGTCTGTGCGCGGGAATGAAACATGCGCCGGTAGAGGGCGCTGGGCACACACCGCAGACTCGAGTAGGCGGTAGCAGCGACAATCGCCGCACGGAATGCTGCTCATGAATATGAGCCTCTAGCATGGCTTGAACCTAGTCGAATTCTTCGTCAAACAGTTGCGTGAGTAAGCCGATAACATAATAAATAATTTAGTATGTCTCACGACAGCTGTTAATACAATTATGCTTACATAAGAATCCGGCTGTATTAATTCCTGCAGTAATTCATCGCTTCGTATCGCCTTCTCTCTGAACTGGTACGCGGACGATAGTCTAGCCGCGCACTCCCAACATACTCGCTGCGGCAGTCTTTCTGACCAGCCCTGCAAATTACGAAAACATTAAAAAACACATAACATAACATCACGCCTTTTATCCCCGAAAGTATTTTTTTTAATTTTTTTTTAAGGGGGGAAAATCATCGAATGGCTTCTCCCGCCTGGGTGAGGCGAGAGGGAGTGTCAGACTCTTACTGACTAAAAACCACCCCGTTCCTTGTCCAGCGTTTCGAGCCGGAGCCCCGGCTACCCGTTAGGTTCTCCGCGACTCATTTCCGAAGGTATAGGCAGAAGTGCACATTACAGCACTTAATGCCACTGTACAATGTAACACCCACTTAACACTATTTATGTTATGAGTCCCATGTAATAGCCTATTGCCATAAGCTACTAAAATTAAATTAAACACTAGCTTTTGTCAGCGGCTTCGCCCGCGTTCTCGAGATAAAAATTACCCCATCTGTTGTATCCAGACTATAACATAACACACATAACATCACGCCTTTTATCCCCGAAGGGGTAGACAGAGGTGCACATTACGAACGTTAATGAATTTATTATATACATCATGCTGTACTCCGAACAGCTTTACCGTAGGTGTAACTAGTACGTATTACAACGGGCTGGTGCTGAAAATCAGCGCCGTGGGCTCGAGCCTCTGTGCCCGGTCCACGGTATTAAGCTGAGCTCCAGCCTTGTGCGCTGCGACGCACCATAGGCTATTTTTTGGGTTTCTAAATTCTTGTTGTGTGTCGTAGCAAAATAAATGGTTTTTCTTTCTTTCTTTCTTTCTTTAATGTCACTGTACAATGTATACTTTGTACTTTACTGCCATATTATTTCATATCTGTACCAAATTTCATCCAAATAATTCAGTTTTTTTCGTAAAAGCGCAACAAACACACACTGTCACACTTCTATACATATATAACAATGAAACCCGTTTCCCGTTGTCACGCCATTACTTGAGAACCGTTAGACCGATTTGGCTGATTTTTTATTTGTTGTGTTTGTTATTGTCCAATTTGACTTTTTCCGAGTTATAAGTACTTTCTAAGATTATTCAGACACCACTGACAAACGGTGAAGGAATAACATCGTGAGGAAACCTGGACTTATAATTTCTAATTTTAAGTTTGAAATCGCCAACCCGCATTGAGCAAGCGTCGTGATTAATGCTCAAACCTTCTCCGTGTGAGAAAAGGCTTTGCTCAGCAGTGGGCATTAATAGGCTGTTGATGATGTTGTGTTTGCTATTGTCAGGAGAAGGTTCTTATGATAGAAAAAAATCTTGAAAATCTTATGGGAACGGGAGAAACCGGGATTGCGCGTACGAAGTCGCGGACAGAAGCTAGTACGCTGTAATAATAATAGTAAGATATTATTTATGAGTGTTTAAGTATAAACTTACAACCAATCCAGTGATATCTTGAAACATAATGTCCAGTTTTGATTCAGTTATATTATACATCTTCGTGTCCATTGCGAGGCAGATTCTGCAAACCTGAAAGCATAATGTTTTTTATGAGATGAGCCGGTGTACGGATCACCATGGTACCATCATGATTGTAAGCAATCGGCGTCGCCCATGGACACCTGGAACACCAGAGGCGTTACAAGTGCGTTACTGGACTGTTTAGGAATTTGATGATTCTTAGGGATTCCTCCGGTACCCTCACTCACACATGATGAAACACTACGCAAGCGTTGTTTTACGTCAGTCTTCTGTGAGGCCGTAGTATCACTTCGGTCGAGGCGACACAACAGTCGAGTATGGCTCTCCCCACTTGTATTGATCAAGGTGTTGTAAGACCCAAATAATTGCGGATGATTTGATACCTACTACCATCTAAACAAATGAATAAAATTGAAACGAATCCGATACATATACAAAAATTGATTTTTTAATTTTTGTCAATCTATTTATCTGTTTGTTCTGGCTAATCTATGAAATGGCTAGACCGATTTTGACGGGATTTTTATTAGCAGGTAGCTAATGGACTAAGGAGTAAATTAGCTGTTTTATCTACGCGGACAAAGTCGCGCGTACAGCTAGTTTAGATATTTTTTAAGGTGTGAAATTCATCGTATGACTTCTCCCGCCTGGGTGAGGCGGGAGAGATTGTCAGACACTTACTGACTAAAAACCAACCCGTTCCTACTCCTTATCTGGTATTAGCCCTGTTGGACCTTTGAGGCGCGCGCGGACGCTCGGGTCTGGTTCTGGTCGGCCGGGGAGCCACCCATGCTCGCCGTCCGCAGGCCCGCGCTTACGGTGGTAGTATAGGTATAACAAAAATGCATTCTCACCCTCATCGCAGCCGGCTCGTCTAGATCTTCCTCAGCGGTCTGCAAATTGAAGAAAATATAAACATTTACTTCAAACTCTGCGTTTGTATGTTTGTTGCAAGGCGCTAGTAACGTTACAGTTTATGAAATATCTTACTAACAGGAGTTGAGCAGCGGGCCAAATCGCGCGAGATTAACTAGTAAAAAAATAATGTACGGTCAAAGGTCAAAAGTCCACTGCCACCGACTACTAACGGTTGTGCTGCAGCGTCCACAGCGCTTATATTCAGCAGCAGCCTATATAATACAGTTACAACATCTGTAAATCTACCTTATAAGGCATCGGCACGGCACCACTTCTAATTCTCCGCATCCCTGCTCTCGTTTCATAAAAGTCGTCAAGGCGGAAATGTTCGGAACACACTGAGCTGCGTTCTCTAGGCTCCCAGTCTCCCATACCGAGAGCTTCCACCCATCGGTTGCGAAGATTCAGTTCTTTAGGGAAACTGAAATATAAAAATGCACAAATTAAATTGAATTATGAACCTAGGTATTTTTTTTAAGGGGGGAAAATCATCGAATGACTGCTCCCGCCTGGGTGAGGCGGAAGGGAGTGTCAGACTCTTACTGACTAAAAACCACCCCATTCCTTCTCCTGCACGTCGAGCCGGAGCCCCGGTTACCCGTTAGGTTCTCCGCGACTCCGAATCGGCATCGGCCCTATTGGGCCCCATCTGTGGTGGTCTGATGGGTCTTTGAACGCTACGCGCGGAACGCTACGCGCCGTACGCTCGGGTCTGTTTCTGGTCGGACGGGGAGCCACCCATGCTCGCCGTCCGCAGGCCCGCGCTTACGTTGGCCAGAGATCGTCCCACGATCCCCGACGCCCGGTGTGTCCTTCGCGATTGCTGGGTTGCGAGGAGGCAGCGCTTCGCTGCCTCACGCGTCCCGCCTCCTCCTTAGCTAGCATGACTGCTTCGCAAAAGGAGGAGACGGCATCCCAGTCCCCTATGAACCTAGGTATAGAGGATGTAAACTGAATACTTCAAAAATTGCAAAGAAAAATTTTTTGTTTTTACAATTTTAACTGTTTTATTTTTCATGCATCAGTACTGAGCAGTTACTGCCTTGTTGGCCGAGTGGTCGCAAGTGCGACTGCCGGGCAATGGGTCTCGGGTTCGATTCCTGGGTCGGGCAGTTGTTGTTTTATGTTACTGGACTGACTTTTTATGTGACTGTCTACAGAGAGAGTAGAAATCAAAATGTACGGGGATGACACTGACAAGTGTCAAAATTTACGTCAATCACATTTAATTTGTTTTTCTATTTTACATGTAGACAAGCGCTAAATGGCATTTGGCTACAGCCGCTGGTGGTAAGCGATGATGTGGTCTACAATGGAGGCCTTGAAGACACCAATTCACTTGGGCCTTAAATAATTAATTAGAATCAGAATCAGAATATTTTTATTTGTAAACATAGGTATGTGAGGTGTTACAGGTAGGCAGATTCTCCATGTTTTGCCCAGAGGCGTACAAATATTATATATAATTAAAATATTTAACATTGTCATCATTCAAAAATTTATTGACACTTGTAATTGTAAATTAAATTGAAACCGATTAAGTAACATGTCATACAATACTAATGCCAAATAAAATTAGGATCATCAAATAAGTAATGTCATCAATTATGTATTATTACTTGTTATTGTGTACATTAAAGTTAAATAAAGTTAAAAGAAATAAATTGTCTGAGCTCAGGGGTGTGTTTATAAACATTCAGATCAATCTCCACCATCTCCATAACTATAGTAACTAATCACAATTGAGCTTATTCAACTAATATTCCAATGACATAAGTCCGAAATAACTTAAAGAAATAAAGAAAAATGTTTTATATGACAGTAGGTACGCACACAGATACAAAAATAATACAAAATTAAAAAGAAAAGAAGAAATAAATACAGATTCTTATATAGGTAATACAGAACAAAAATGAAAACCAAAACAAAGAAACGACAGAGCATAACAAAACAGTGACAATACAATAATAACACAGTAATTAAAAATTAACGAAAGCTTTCTTTTTATTTTATAGGACTCATCATAACTAGTCAAAAGTGGGTGTTATATTGTATAATTATGAGCGTCAACCCCTCCAGAATTAAAAGCGTAAAGTTTATAATAATTGTGTTCCCAGCGGTATCGCGGTATTTACATTTTCTTTCAAGTTATCTTTGAAGCCGTATTGTGTGTATGTTTATTTTCATCGACACTTTAAGACATAAATGTTAATAGATACTTACATATGGAATGTGATTCCATCGCTTTTACAAGTTTTTCTTGTATCATTAGAGCAATTAGAGACACTGCACCTCATAGTTCGATAAAATTCTTATTTTTCCAAGTTTATGAACGTAAACATATCCCAAGATTCTAATTAGACTCTATTCTTGAATGATAAGATTAGGATATCGGTTAAATAGTACCATTGCATTAAGAATTTATGTATTAATCTCTATCGTGTGCACTAATATAGTATTAATTTATTTAATTTAAACAAGAATTATTTCATTTTCGTGTATTTTTTACGAAATTCGAGCTGTCAAACATGAAGCTGGGCGCTTCATATTAGTTTTTTCTTACTTTGGCACCATGTCTTTTGAGACACAGTTGTTTAATTTGCTACTGTGACCACTATGGAAGCTTTTTCAGATAATAATGATCAAAATAATAATAATAATAATAATAATAAGCCCGCAGGGCACCTTGAGGCGAGGTGACGGGCATTAGCGATCCCGCGGGCTACCATCATCCCGAGTGCTCCAGGGAGAGGTCACCGTTCCTTCTTCTCCGGCTCGCCTTAATTGGCTGGCTGGAGTGAATGATGACAAGGAACAGGTCTCCCACCTCTGGCTTGCCTTCATTGGCCGTCCAGAGTGGAGTCGCGAGAGCAGTGATCCTGCTCGGAGGGTAAGAAACTATTCGTAAGTCGCGAGTGGGCCAGGGATGCAGGAGGCTTCGGCTGGAGCAGATGATCTGAGTAGAAAGCGGTGGTAGTTTCTTAACCCTTCAGCCACTCACATTCTCGTTGCCCCTCTGTTGCTATATCTAGCAACCATTTCCGGGGCCCGGTCGGTGAGTTGGCGAGTCTCCGCCTGCCATTTTTACGTGTAAAAATTACATTGTTTCGGCAGGTGCCATAGTCATCCATAGTTCCCAATTTACCAGTCCACAGCAACCCATCCATAGCCCTACCTTTTTTTTCCATTATTCACAATAGTCCTACACTAACCGGGGACTGTCCTTGGGTGCATTTCCATAGTGCATACAGGGATAGTCGCCGGTTTGTGTCTCCGTTACATTTAGATTAAAGTTGTCTAAAGGGCCTCTGCGCAGTTGGCTTCGGCCCCTCGTACGCCTCCCAAATGACCGGGACCCTGTGGTCCCGTGAATGGTAAAGACATAATAATAATAATAATAATAATAAGCCCGCAGGGCACCTTGAGGCGAGGTGACGGGCATTAGCGATCCCGCGGGCTACCATCATCCCGAGTGCTCCAGGGAGAGGTCACCGTTCCTTCTTCTCCGGCTTGCCTTAATTGGCTGGCTGGAGTGAATGATGACAAGGAACAGGTCTCCCACCTCTGGCTTGCCTTCATTGGCCGTCCAGAGTGGAGTCGCGAGAGCAGTGATCCTGCTCGGAGGGTAAGAAACTATTCGTAAGTCGCGAGTGGGCCAGGGATGCAGGAGGCTTCGGCTGGAGCAGATGATCTGAGTAGAAAGCGGTGGTAGTTTCTTAACCCTTCAGCCACTCACATTCTCGTTGCCCCTCTGTTGCTATATCTAGCAACCATTCCCGGGGCCCGGTCGGTGAGTTGGCGAGTCTCCGCCTGCCATTTTTACGTGTAAAAATTACATTGTTTCGGCAGGTGCCATAGTCATCCATAGTTCCTAATTTACCAGTCCACAGCAACCCATCCATAGCCCTACTTTTTTTTTTTTTTTTTTTCCTTTATCCACAATAGTCCTACACTAACCGGGGACTGTCCTTGGGTGCATTTCCATAGTGCATACAGGGATAGTCGCCGGTTTGTGTGTCCATTACATTTATATTAAAGTTGTCTAAAGGGCCTCTGCGCAGTTGGCTTCGGCCCCTCGTACGCCTCCCAAATGACCGGGACCCTGTGGTCCCGTGAATGGTAAAGACATACATAATAATAATAATAATAATAATACCCATTTTAAACATGGAGACAAGATCGAAAAGTAAACGTATAGGGCCGCTTCCCGGGGGCGATCGCCGGGGCACACCTGGAGCTGACGCTGGGTGTTTCAGCATGCGATCCGTCAGTGGTGCGGAGTTGAGCAGGCGGGCTCCCACCAGAAAAGAGGTTACAGCCGAACCAGAATACTCTGACAGTCTTAATGACGATGTCACTAATCACCCAATTGAACCATATAGTCCTAGCACTGTTTCGTATACCCCTTCATTGCAATCGTTGCCTTCGTCAACTAGTTCATCACCATCAACAGTTAGAGTTAGGGATCCATCCAATCCAGTCTTGGATGTTGCGCGGGAGGTTAATACCTTTTTACCCGCGTCCACCAAGGCCGGTAAACCAAGAGTGCGCATGTCTTGGAGCAAAGATGTTAATATATTCATCATGCGCACTTATTATTATATCACAAAATTAGAAACCGACATGACAACATACAGGAAACGATTGCACGAACTATTCTCACGTCAATACCCACAAATTACAGTCTCCGAACAGCGCGTATCAGATCAAATGAGAACAATAGTAAGAAACAAGAGACTCTCACAGGATACATTAGATCACTTGAAAGAAGAAGTGCGTAAAATTTTAGAAGATGAAGAAAAAGTAAATGAGAATTTCAATGGCATAAACACGTCAGAAGTCCCTAACAAAAGTCACACCCAATCACCTTTACCATCCCACACCAGAAGTCAATCAATTAATTCTGAAGACATCTCATTCATCACATCTAGCATCATCCCAAATTCACAATCATCAGTCACAAACTTATCATTCACTCAACATGCTTCCACTCAAACAAACTTCTCTCACGAATCTTTACCACCATTAACACTTACCACATATCCTAGAGAAACAACAGAGGTTGACACGATTACACAGGAATTAATTAACCAATTGGAAACTACGCTTATACAATACACAGGCACAGATCCTACAGTACGTCCTAAGCTACCAAAACTGAGAGAGAATAAAAAGTTGTATGAACTGGTGGATATTTTTAATAAACAAATTTTGAACCAATTTTATTCTATAGACTCTGATCTAATATTTATACACACACTCATTTATTGCAGCGCCTACGTAATCTGTAAAAATTTAGGATACAAAATAAAAACTTATAAACGAACCACTAAATACCATAAAAACCTTAAACCGTCTTGGCAAATAAGACTAGAACTAGATGTAAAAAAATTAAGAGCAAATATCGGTAGACTAACACAATACATAAACAACAATAGATCTAGAAAGATAGTAAAAGCGGTAGAAAAAATATTTAGGCAAACTAAAGTACACACTATTCATGAACCAGATAATGTGCGGCCAGAAGAATATTTAGACACACTAAAGCAGAAATTAACACTAAAGTCACAAAGATTAAAAAGATACTTAAAAGCGCTGCAACGAAAAGAAGATAACAAACTTTTTACAACTAATGAAAGGAATTTTTACAGAGCATGTAGAGATAGCGGAATACAAAATAATAACAATAATATAATCCCTGAAGCAAATGATCTAAAAACCTTCTGGGCTAATATATGGGAAAAAAGAAGTGATCATACGGATACTGCGCATTGGATTGATGAAGAACAAAATAGAATGATTGAAATAGATGAGATGGAATTCACTGATATTACTCCAGAGGATGTGACAATAGTCACAGCAAGAATGAAAAATTGGAAAGCAGCAGGCATTGACAGCATTCACAATTTTTGGTTTAAAAAATTTACTACACTACATCACGTCATTGCTAAAAACGTCACAGAACTAATTAGAGGTGAACAACCAATACCCAAATTTATCACAAAAGGCGTTACTTATATGCTTCCTAAAAGCAATAATACTTCAGATCCTTCGCAATACCGTCCTATTACATGTTTACCTACAATCTATAAACTAATTACTTCCCTCATCACACGTGATATCAATAGCCATCTTCATCGAAACAATGTGCTGTCAGAAGAACAGAAAGGTTGTAGGCAAAATCATAGAGGTTGTAAGGAACAGCTTATAATAGACTCCACCATATTAAAAACAGCTCATTCTCAAAAAAAAGATTTAAGCATAACATACATAGATTATAAAAAAGCATTCGATAGCGTCCCTCACTCTTGGTTAATAAAAATCTTACAAATATATAAAATAAACCCTACTATCATCGACTTCCTGAGGAATGCTATGGCTGATTGGCGAACGAGTCTGCATCTTTCTAATGGTGCAAACTCAATCACCACAGAGGAAATTCACATCAGAAATGGTATTTTTCAGGGAGACTCTCTAAGCCCTCTATGGTTTTGCCTTGCCTTGAACCCATTATCACATCTTCTTAACAATACAACTAACGGGTTTAAATTAAATTCTGATACATCCATTACTCATCTAATGTATATGGATGATATTAAACTATTTGCATACTCCAAAAAAGGTTTACAGTCACTAATAGAATTAACTACCAAGTTCAGTACAGATATGAACATGTCATTTGGTTTAGACAAGTGCCGCATATTACACATTTGTAAAGGCAAAGTGATGAATACGCTTAATAGTACAGACGAACCCGATACATTCGAATCTATGGGACCGACGGATAGTTATAAATACCTAGGTATTCACCAGTCCAATACCATTGACCATATTAAAATTAAAAAACATTTGTCTTTAGAGTTCTCAAAACGATTGAATTTACTATGCAAAAAACAACTTCATTCAAAAAATCTCTTTAAAGCAATCAACACATTTGCGATACCTGTCTTAACATTTTCATTCGGCGTAATTAAATGGACACGTACAGATATTCGAAGCTTAGAAATTAAAATCAGAACCACGTTAACAAAATACAGCTACCTCCACCCTAAATCTGCCATCGAGAGAATTTCGGTAAAGAGAGAGAAAGGAGGAAGAGGACTCATAGATTTGAATGTATTATGGGAAGGACAAATTCAAAATCTCCGGAATTTCTTTTATACTAAAATTACAACTAGCCACATCCATTCAGCCATAATTGATCTCGACAAAAACTGTACTTTAAACTTATCCAACAGGACCATTAATTATAAAACCCCACAAAACCATATCACTGACAAGCTAAATAGATGGCGCT